TGCACAGTAAAAAATCCATATAGAACTTTATAGTCAGCCCTCTGTACCCTTGGCTCTGAATCCAAGAATTCAGACAACTGTAGACTGTGTCACAAAGCAGTATGTATTTATTGAGAAATATCCACATAAAAGTGAAACCACTCAGTTCAAACCCATGTTGTTCAAAGGTCAACTGTATTTCCACCATTCCCTTACATGATACAAGAATGCAAATCATTTCAAGGGCATAGATAATGATAAAATGTAGGAAAATAATTAGGAAGTGATATGCTTTGAGTATTTATAATTTAATTGTACATTTTTATGATTTCATTTTAAATAATGTGTGCATTTAAGAATTCCCTTACAAAATCAGTGGAAACTGAATGGTTCCAGTGGGCAAGTACATTCTGGCTCTAGCATTCCACTGGAAAATCTAAATAGAGGGAAGTGCTATCAACTGCACTTTGGGTTTAAACAGACTGCTACTCACCATTCCACTCTACAAGGATTAAGTTGCAACCCACTGCAGCTGTTCAATGACAACACATATGAGATAATTCAGGATGGCAAAAAAAAAAAAAAAATGGATGAAGCATTCCATACTTTTACAAATATGGACCCCTAGATTGTTCAGAAGCTTATTTAGCAAAGAATTTCAATGACCCAGATTCTTCCATCTTCCTCTCAACTACCAATTGGGACTTGCCAAGAACACTTGCCAGAGACTGAACAACAAGGGCACTTCCCATCTGCCTCTGCAGAGACTGAACCCTGTGATGCTCCAGCTGTTGACTTTCGACACATTCTGAGGGAGTTCAGTGTAGAGAGAGGCACTTTGTGCTCCAGGGATTCTTGTGGAACAAGTCTTTAAATAGTTAGATGTTTTCAGGAACCAATTTCATGATCCCAATCCTTATTGTTGTTCAGTCGCTCAGTCATGTCTCCTTGTGACGCCATGAACTGCAGCACACCAGGCTTCCCTGTCCTTCACCATCTCCCAGAGCTTGCTGAAACTCACGTCCATCGAGTCAGTGATGGCCATCCAACCATTTCATCCTTTGTCATCCCCTTCTCTTCCTGCCTTCAATCTTTCCCAGCATTAGGGTCTTTTCCAATGAGACAGTTATTCCCATCAGGCAGTCAAAGTATTGGAGCTTCAGCTTCANGCTGTTTTGGTTTTCTTTTTTTAAAAAACACAAAGAAGTAGTTTATGGCATTGGTTGACTTTTCATCCATTCTGAGTTAAAAACCAAGTCCTTAAAATGGCTTTGGGGGCCCCTATGGAACTGGAAGACAGTGAGAATGGCTGGAGAAGAAGGACGAGGGTCAGGGAAAGAAAAGGGCTTGCAAAGTTCCAATCTTTACAACCCCAGAGCAACCCTGTGCCACAGTGTTATCCACTTTTGCTAGACAGAAATCTAAAGTCCACTGTCCCGTGGGCAGAGCTGATACAAACCAGCCTGACTCCAGGGCCAGGTCCCCCGCCCCCGCCATCATAACTCTCCCCGGTGCCAAGAGTGAAATATCCTGAAGGGAGCTTCAGGTAGTGAAGGTGAGGAATGAGAAATAGGCTGGGGTGGAGAAGCTACAGCTGGAATCCAGGCAGAGAATGTGGAAGTTCTGGATCAGGGCAGAAGGTGATGTGTGCAAAACTATGGGAAGTTGGTCTGGGTATTGATGCTGAAAGCTCAGCTTCTCTGCACACCAGTGCTGAATCAAATCTCAGAGACAAGAGTTTTGGGTGAAGCAAAAAAAAGGACAGTTTTATTGCTTTGCCAGGTGAAGGGGGACACAGTGGGTTCCTGTCTTTGAAACCCACGTGTCCCAATCCAGGAGGATATGTTGAGGAGTTTCACAGCAATAGTTCAAGGGTGCGGGTGCTGACAAGATTAGGGTGTGTGCAGGGTCTCAGGTGCTTAGTCTCCTGATCTTGATGAGCTTCTCAGGCTCCTTTAATCTCGCCTCAAGTGGCTGCTTCTCCCTTGATTAGTAATGGTTCGAATCTGCCCTTTGGAACACAGGGAAGGTCATGGAGGCTGGAGTATCCTACAAAAAAAGGCCTCCGTGCCTGGGAGCCCCATAGGGCCCCAACTTGGTTTCACTATTGCATGAATTGGACCAAGTAGGGCCTGGGGCCTGGGAGATGAGTTCATCAGGAGGCTAAGTAAATGATCAAGGGAAAGGAAGTTGGCTTTACCCTGTAGAGAGCATGAAGAAGTGAAGGGCAGGAGGAGAGAGGAGCTCCCGTAGTCTGGTCTGGAAAGCAGCCTGGAGCCCAGCCGCCTGGCTTCATGCTTTGCCCCTGCTGCTTCCTTGTTAGTTCTGTGATTGGTTACTTAACTGCAAGCTAAGGTAACATCTCTATGCCTCAGTCTTTCCTTCTCTAAAATGGGGTGATAGCAGTACCTATACACATGGCTGTTTGAGAAATAAATGAATAACCTAAACACTTAAAACTGCCTTATAAACTTGACCTACATGTATCTTTGTAGAACCTCTTCCACACCAGTCCCTGGAAAATTTTGAGTTGATTTGATTAATTAAAAAATCCATTTTGAGATTTCCCTACTGGTCCGGTGGCTAAGAAAACATGCTCCTAATGCAGGCAGCCCGGGTTTGAGTTCTGGCCAGAGAACTAGTTCCCACATTCAATTAAAGATCCCACGTGCCGCAGCTAAGACCAGGTGCAGCCAAAAAAATTAGAAAAAAAAGAAAGCAAAGAAAATCCATTTATTTATTTGAAGAGACTAACCTCCTTTCGTCTCTGAAGAAAATAAGACAAAATCTATGTTGCAAAAGAGGCATACACTGTGGGTGGTCAGCCCAACCCTTCCTTCTCTTTCCTTCCTTGATGGGAGAATCTCAGCTTTGCTCAGGCCCTGCTATCCTTCCCCTCAGAGCTGTATGCTTCCCTCAGATACTAATGGTGCTCCCATGGTCTCTGCAAGAGACTTACCTTTTCACCGACTGTGTATTGCCAAATCTGGCTGTGATGTCTGTAACTGTGGCAGCCACTTTGTGACTGTGGGGTGAACTGGCCCCTAAGGGCAAACCTGACCTGCTAAGAATTGCAAAGCAGAAAGATAGAAAAAAAGTTGGTTAGCATTAACCAACTCCAGGGTCACTCAACACTTCTTGTGATGCGAAAGAGTAAATCTTGATTGCTTCAGCTATATTGAGGCAGGTTTTTATGTTTCTTGAAGCTAGAAACATTCTGATACTTGCAAGAGTAAAAATTTGGTAGCAATGTAGATGGAGTCATTCGTCCTTTTCTATGTATATTGTAAGAAGTGAAGCTCTAAATTAAAAATCATGGCTTTCGGTTTTCACAGAGAAACAAAACTTTAAGAAAAACACATCAATACTTTGCAGGGGAGTTTGCATCATCTTTTTATATGGAAGGCAACTGTTGTTTTCTAAAATACTTGGGGCAAAACTTTCTAGTTGAACAACCCAAAACCCCAATCTTCTGAATGTTATCTAATTCTAATTCTAGAAATGACTGCTGAAATAATTTCAAATTTAGTATGAATTACCAGCCTAAGTGATCTGGAACATTAAACCCCAAAGGCAGATATTTTGTAAGCAGTATATGTGGGGCAATTACTGAGCATAAAACAATTTGGTCTCGATCTTCCTCACAATCCTTTATTCTACAACCCTTTAGCCCACCTCCATCTTAAACCACAAAAAATTGCCTGATCCTTCACTTTTGAGAGTTTGGCTTCTTAGATTTATTTCAGTTTTATTCATTTTAATCTCACAGTCCTCTCCCTCACAAGCAGGAAGAATACAGGACGTTGGTGAGTGAAACTCTGCCTTAAGGATCCAGTGTGTGGATGTGTCTTCATCCAAGTGGTAAAGCTGGTCCCATGCTGGTTTGGACTGAGTCATCTCACTTGCTTCAGTGGAAGGAAGCGTGATAAGAGCGAGGAATGGGCAGCCGAGGGGGCTAAGAGAAAGCAGGCGTGCTCATGGATTGCTCTAGTTTGACACCCAAATGACTCACATAGCTTGGCCCAACTCACTGGAATTTACCGCTTTGGGACCCTGGGCAGATGGTGCAGTCGATAGCGAAGTATTATTTTTATCCCCTTTGTCACTGGCTTTTGTGCTTTGGGAATGTTGTAGGGGAGAATTTGGGGAAGTTGCTTGTGATTAGGCAGAAATAAGGGATTACAACTGAGTGAAATAAGTCAGAGAAGGAGAACTATTGTATGACATCCCTCATATGCAGAATCTGAAAAGATATGATACAAAGGAACTTATTTACAAACAGGAACAGATTCACAGATGTAGAAAGAGAATTTATGGTTGCACGGTGGGGGGTGGGGGGTGGGCGGGGAGAATAGTTAGGGAGTTTGAGATGGACATGTACACACTGCTACGTTTAAAATGGACAAACAACGAGGACCTCTGGTGTAGCACAGGGAACTCTGCTCAATGTTATGTGGAAGGGGAGTTTCGATACGTGTATATGTATGGCTGAATCCCTTTGTTGGTCACATGAAATTATCATAACAACATTGTTAATCGGCTATACTCCAATTTAAAATAAAAAGTGGTTTTTTTTTTTGTTTTTTTAATGCAATCAGGGTTCCTGGCTTCCTTGGCTCAAAGCTATCCTAAGATCACCAATATCTATCAAGACATCTAACAACATTCCTGTATCTTAACCATGAGTTTCCCATTCTTCTTACCTTTTCCCTGATTTTCTCTTTTCCATTCAATACTCTTAACATTTATGGAGTTGATCAGATATATTTGGCAGATGTTGCTAAGTTTTTTGGATTCATGGGTGTATGTGGTATCATGCCAAATACACAACAAGTTTCTGATCTTTCCACAGCCCTCTCTCAGTTCTTACTCTAATGCTTTGAAAATGATAAAAGGTGAATACCATTTTGAAACTAGTTCAAATGTAAAGTTTGCATAGTAATTTAAATATATAGATAGACAGGGCATGAGAAATGTTACTGCTTTTCCGTCTCAGGCAAACAAAGGAAGACAATGACAGGTGATTGTATATTTTGTTTAATACTTGCATTGTTTCTATAGCGCAATTATAGCAATCTTTAAATTGACTTCTCATTACAAATATTTGTCAAGTTTTGTTTCAGAAACATTTTTCCTACTCTCTTGCACATGCACCCAGACACACTACAAAAAACTCATTCATAACACAGTAAGGGCAAACATTATTCATGTAAACATCTTTCATTAATTTCCCATAATTTAAAAAAACCATAGAATTATAGATATTGAATAAGGCTCATAGATTTAGTTCAAATTCCACAAAAGACCAATCAAAGATGCTCATTAACTGTGATGAGGTTAACTTTTGGTTTCAATAAATGCTGAAAGCATTCCCTTGGCTTCCAATCCTTAAACATACCTCACAACCTAATCGATTTGTTTCAGGATAAAAAGAGAACACAGAAAACGCAGGAGAAAAAACTCTTGAAGTAGGGAGCTCAGAACCATGAACCCAACTCTCTTCTATGATAAGCAGACACTACGTAGTCCCTGTAGTTTCCCAACGCATGAATCGAGATGAATGACAGTCATCCAAAATGTAACCAAGTTGTATATTAAGATACATCAGTACGTGTGTACATATTGCTAGTATACACAGTGAAAATCTGTCATCATATTTATAATTTCATTTCATCCAGGACCAAAGTGGAGAAAAACCAAACCCACTCAAGTTGACTATGATTATAAAGGAGTGTTCTAGTAAGAGTCGGGCAGTTGGGAGGTGTGTCCTAGGGAGGTGACTGGTCTTGATGTTAAAACGACTTCCAACAACGGTGCGTCAAGTCACAGACAGAGGAAGCAATGATCTGCGTTATCCAAGGATGTCTCTCTCTGGTGGAAAGTTCGGGGCTTGGGTGCATAGTCGCCCAGAGCCGAGACAGAAGTGGACTGTGCTGGGAAATGGGCCCCGCCTTGCCAGCAGGACCCGCCTCCATCCTCTCTCGAGGTGAAGGCCCGGAGGCAGGGACTGCTGGCAAAACCGTGAAGCCCCACCCGGGGGATCTGAACCCCAACTCCGCTCAGGGCAGCCTCCCTGACGTGTGTGACTAGGCAGTAAGGTGGCGGTGGATGGCGGCCAGAAAACCCGTTCCAAGGTTCCCACGGCCACGTCTGCCTTCTGATTCTGCTGCCCTGCAAAGAAATTGTGCTCCAGATAACTGCACCGGTGTCTCTAATGCCTCTGAGTCACTCCCCGGCCCCCGAAGGCCTGGAGTGATGTCACAAAAGGGTGGACACAACTCCACGAGCACCTAACTTCCACCAGGAAGCGGCTGAGGCACTGGGGAAGCCTACGAGCTCTCTCCACGTCAGCGGCAACAAAGCGGGGAAGTTGCCACGCGTCAGAGTTATTTGTAGGCTTTTGATTCTTTAAAAATCAAAATTGATCTGCATTGTATCTCAATAGACTCAGAGGATTCTCACCAAAAATTTTTGCAATTTGTTTAAATAGCACTGGAATAATTCAACTTCATTTAAATATATTCATTCTACCATGAAAATAGTTCATACAAACATCTATTTACATACAAACACATTAAAATTTGTGAAAAGGGTTTCCATCCCTGTGGTTGTATGGCTTGAAATAGTTTTCATTGCTTTGAATATGTCTGCACACATTTGGCAAAATAAAACCGTAACAATTTAGTATTTTTAAAACAAAAAGACACCAAAGTTCCAAATTCCTGAAAGAAAAGAAAAAAAAGAAAATCTATCAAGGTACCTCAAGTAGATGTAAAAATTTCATATATTTTGTGAACCTTTGATCTGCGGCAAATAAACAATACCACTATCGGTCTTGCAACATAGTTTTGCTTGTTTTTCTAAAACAGAAGATGTCTGGATTCTAAATCACTACTCTTAAGACAGAAACTTGAGGCAACTGTTTTAAAACAAAGCACAACAGAAAAATGATACCTTCCTGGAAGATCTTAAATGCAGTTTGCAGTGAGTGATTTAAAATTTCATAGATTAAAGGAAAGTTACTAAAGTGCCACATACGACTCACGGAGAAGACAACCCTTGAACTCACTGTTCACAGTTACTGCAATTTTATGGTTACAACTAAATATTGTCAATGGTTACACTTGGCCTTCACGCTGGCCTTTTTTAGGTTGTTGGTGATGAGGAAATTGTTTTTCAAGTGTGAAGAACCCCCAGAGGGCAGATAAGTTTAAAGACAGCCTCAGACAGGTTCAAAGGGGTCTTCAACAACAAATTTTCTTCTCAGTTTCTCAGGCAGACCAGGGATGAAGCAGGTTAAAATAAGAATAGGTACTGCAAAACTCAAGTCTTCCATGCCAGTAGCTTTTTAATCTCATCATTCCTTTTCCAGAAATTCAGTCCTTACGTTTGTTTTTTTTTCTGAGTCCATTCACATGCCCATTTGGGGACATACTCCTACAGATTAGTTCCTATTCCTAACTCTAACACAAGATAATATTTTGTCATAGAAAAGCTGCTAAGGAAAGATCTAGTCATGCAGGGCTTGGGCTGAGATGGCTCTGAGCGAATCTCCTGGGGACCATGGCATCACACACCCATCTCAGCGCTGGCGCTTTTGGGGGAGCCAGAAAGTTACTCCTCTATCCCCACTACACGGATTCTTCCACGTTTCTGTGCTGTTGCTCATGAAACTACCTGCTTCCTGACACAGTTCCCTCCACAGCGGATATCAAGATTCAGTAGAAAAATACATCCCTCAGCTTTGGCTCAAACAGGGAAAAAAACACCCTTATTCCCTCGGCAGTTCATTCCTCAGGGGACCCCAGTCCCCTTAACGGTTTGTCTACCTGCAGAACACAGTGAGTCTTAAGGCGCCCTCTGACCCCACCCTGTGACGAAGTCTTGCATTGAGGAGTGTGTCGGGGGAGGGCAGGGGACAGCAGGAGCAGTAGATTCAGACATGGATGCAGAGCGATGGAGAGAGGTACTCCTGAAGGGAAAGACAGACAGACTGCGCTCCGGGGGCGCACACAGAGGCAGGAGACGCGGGACAGAGGGAGCAGGAGGGAGGGATCAGCTGGAAGGTTGTTATGTAGGCACACCGGGGCGTTCTCACAGTCGACAGAGAGAGAAGAAAGGGGAGGGCAGGAGAAAGAAGAGCCGGAGATGCAGAGGCTGAGCTTGGGGTACCGCCTCCTCTGATGTGTCTGAACGTCACAAACACATTGCAAGACTCTGAACTCAAAGTGTTGACATTCACGATCTCATCTGAAAAATGGGTTTGTGCTGGTTAATCACTACCATTTAAGTCGATCACTTTTATCAAAAGAAAAGAGAAATTCCATTTGAAGGGGGTAGCCCATTGGTATAGAAATTATACCCCACGGCAGCCTCAAGTCCTTGCCAGATCTCCCCCTGACCTCACTCCCAACCCCACTGACCAGGAGTAGTTCAAGCCATCTTTCTCTGGAGACAATCACTCACTTTGGGACACGTTTGAATGAAAGCACCTGTCGGAATACAAGTCCCAAGACCTCATCCGTCTGTCACAGTTTACTGAACGGTCTCTTTCTACAGAATAGAAGCGATCCTATCCTGGTGCCTTTTAATCTGAAAACTTTTCAGTTCCCTTCAAGGAAGATCTTTCTGGCAGCCCTCAGAACTTCTCACAAGTGAACCAGCAGCATATCTCCCTGAAACCAAGGCCACTTAGCTGCTCTGCCAGGGACACAGGGGCTCTGGGAAAGCCTGGCCAAGGGAAAGGCTGAATCCTGTGCCTGGAGCAAACTGCCAAAACTGAAAGTTGTGAGCAGCCCCTGGATCAAGCACTTCTGTGAAGTTCTTCCCAGAGCATGTGTAACTGACACAAAATAGCAAACTTCCTCCTGCCTGTTTCTTTTCTGCTTTCTGAGCCTTCCCTAGTTACAGGAGCTACAGGAGAGTGGAAGGCTTCAGCTTTCAAGACCAGACTGACTTGGTGACAGGTGCTTCGCTGACAGCTGCGACTTGGAACAAACACTAATCTCTAGATCGCCCAGCTCCACAGTGAGGCATCTAGGGAAGGCATAGCTGTGGCATGTGGCGAGGGCGCTTGCCATAACCCCCAAACTCTCAGAATTCATTCAGAGCAATCCCAGTTAAATTACATACCTAATTAGCTAAACTAAAAAACAGGGGGTTTTCTCCTTATTTCTGCAGTTGTGATTACACATGGCTAGCAAAATGACTGAAATGCTATTGATACTGTTGCTTTTAAACTATACAGGTGTTAATCTTAATTCACAAGGCTTTGAAGCAGGTAAATGCTTTGAAATTACAATGATGAAGAGTTTTAGCGGTTAAGGTTTGATGTGTACCTAGTGATCAGTACGTCTCTCTTAATAGTAGCGATTTAGAAAGAAACAAAACAAAGGAATTTCGAATTCTGGATTAGAATTCAAGTTTGCTATTTGACTTTTGAATCCAATGCACTGTGCCACAAGCCAGACTGCTCTACGTTATGTACATTTAATGTGTACCCAAGGAGAAAAAAAATGACTAGCACTATTGAAGATACTGCAAAATTGCCACAGTTACTGCTTAGAAATACTAATTTCCATCTCTTCTTTCTTAAAGTATATATTACAACTCTTCCATAACTTAATGCAAACAAAGTAAATTCATTTCTTCTCACATCTTAAAGCAAAGATATCTTTGTTTACATGCGAGAATAATAATTCTATAATAATAGCCTGGCCCTAGGAGCCAGGTCTTTATACTAGGACATAATAATGAAACAATGACAGATCGATAGAAAGAGCCAGAGAGACCTACACACTGGCGCTGACACAAAATCTGTTTGGAAGTTTTCTGTCGTGAAAGATACCTAAGAGAGAGAAGAAGACTAAGGGGTGAACAGACTCAAAAAGTGGGGTTCTGTTCGCTAGGGGGAAAAAACAAGGCCATTCTATTGCAAGAGACAGATCAAAGGTTAAAAGGCAAATTATACTACATTTAGAGAATAAAAATGTAGTAATTCTCCCCTTCATATGGCGCATATGCAAGTGTGACAGAACAATTTGCATTGGCCATAGAAATAAACCTCATGGAAAAACCACTGACTAAAAATGACTGAAAAAACCCCCTTTTTTCCCCTTTTTTCAGTCTAATCATTTGGCATCTCTGAAGTGGTACAGATTTAGACTTGAACCACCCAAGAACATCATGCTGTCTTCTGTCAAGTGTGCGACAGTACCTCTCGGGAGGGCGTTGTTTCGAGGCTAGCTAATTTTAAATCTGGTATGAGTAATACAGTCAGACCTAGTTAGTATTCGAGAAAGTCGGAGCGAACGCAGAGTGAGAGGGTGTGATGTCACAGCATGAGCAGTCCCTGGTTGTCCCGTTGTCGGATAAACGTAGTGCATAGATCCAAGTTTCTGTTCCAGGTCCCCTGCAGCCCGGAGCCAGGCCTTTCACTTCTGCTGGGTGGCCTGGAAGGCCTTCAACTCCACCTGGTACCACTCGGGAGCTTCTGGCCCACTCTTCCCTGGGGGACTGTGGTCGTAGCCGTAGGCAACGGTGAGTTCCTCGTCGGCCTCCACGGCTCGGAGGGTGCGGATGCATTTGATGGGCCCGAACCTGGGGTGGACAAACCTAGACATCAAGATGCACACAGTCATTCCTGGGTGGACCAGAAGGTCGGACACAAAGGCTAGAAGGGCCGAGACAGGAATCACCCACATGCTTTGGCCTGGACCCCAGGGGCAGGTCGTCAGTGTCACAGGAGAGTCAGCATCAGCGTTTCCTGGGAGCCTGGTGCTCACGTACACTTGGGCTACCCCACCCAGACCTAGCGGTGGAATCTGCATTTGAACACCACCTCCCCCTCCCCCAGGGGACTCTTCTGTGCGCACGCTCAGTCGCTCAGTCGTGTCTGACTCTGTGGCCCCACGGACTGTAGCCCGCCAGGCTCCTCTGTCCTTGGGATTCTCCAGGCAAGAATACTGAAGTGGGTTGGCATTTCTTCCTCAGGGATCTTCCTGATCCGGGGATCGAACCCTCATCTCCTGTCTCCTGCACTGCATGCAGATTCTTTACCACCGCACTGAGGCTTAAAAAGCATGGCCCTAGGACTTCCCTGGTGGTCCAGTTTTAACAACTGGACTCTCTGCTTCCAATGCAAGAGGCTGGGTTGGATCCCTGGTTCCAACTGAGATCCCACCTGCCATTTAGGATGGCCAAAATAAGCAAGTGAGTAAAGAAAAAGTATGGCCCTATCTTCCTTTTTGAGCATATTTGGCGCTCTGTCTTTATAAATCAACAGCCAGGATCTACCCCCAAAAATCTGTCTTTAATGAGAAACCGGATTCAGTGTAGTCTGCCAGCATTTCAGCTCATCTGGCCTGTAGCATCAGATTACCTGGCTGTGCCTCAGGGCAAGGGCACTTCTGGAGTTCTAAGAGAGAGCCCTGTGGATTTTCAAAAGCAAAAAATGCTGTATTCCATCCTGTACTTCTTGAGGAAGCATTATTTTCTAGTTTTGAAAGTAAATGAAGATTTCTTTCCAAGAGGGAAGCCCAGACGCTCTGCCATCCTGCTTCTTTCAGATTTCCCGCTGACCCACGCTGTGAAGGGAGAGGCTGGGCTCCTGCTAGGATTAAGCTCATCTGTGGAAGGCTCCCAGCCCGGCTCACCCGCACAGCTCCCTGCAGGAGAGCAGGGGCTAAATAAGTATTAATAGATTTGTCTCCTCTAATAAGGGATTCCCAAGTGGTGCTGGTGGTAAAAAACCTGCCTGACAATGCAGGAGATGTAAAAGACTTGGGTTTGATTCCTGGGTTGGGAAGATCTCCTGGAGGAGGGCATGGCAACCCACTCCAGTATTCTTGCCTGGAGAATCCCATGGACAGAGGAGCCTGGCGGGCTGCAGATACATGGAAGGCATGGCCAGAAAAAATCTTATATTTTTGTATGCATGTGGTTGGATCTGTCTGGTTCATTTACAGTTACATTTTGAACAAGAGGCACTGAGACGTCACAGAAGGTCCTAGATCCTAAGTTAGATGGCACATGGCGCATGATGGCAAGCACTTGGTGGGAGAGGTGTGTCTGCAGTGTATGGACATACTTTGTGTGGGATGAAGGGCAACAACTGCACCCTCACTTCAAGGGGTGTCAACATCTACCCGTTCTGGGTGTCCTGTTCCCTGGCACGCACACTTGATTTGGGGCTGAAGACGCTGGTGTGAGTCCTGGTTCCACACGTTGTTACTGCCTCCTTCTGGAAACTCACCTCTGCAACTCTGAATCTCACTTTCTCCTCTGTAATCATAAGACTAGTGATTCTTTCCTCCAAGAGTTCCTGCGGTGACAAAGTGCTGTGGCTGGGCTCAGGCACTTCAGTCCTATCTGTCTCTTTGCGACCCTGTGTAGCCTGCCAGGCTCCTCTGTCCATTGGATTCTCCAGGCAAGAGTACTGGAGTGGGTTGCCATTTCCTTCTCCAGGGGATCTTCCTGACCCAGGGACTGAACCTGCATCTCTTATGTCTCTTGCACTGGCAGGCAGGTAGGTTCTTTACCACTAGCATGTGCCTGGCACAACTGAGGACTCTCATCAGTTGCTAAGCACGTAAGCAAGCCTGTGGGTGTGTGAGATTGTGCGCACGCACAGAATTCTCAAATGTGCTCTGGCACAAAAGATATTCCTGGACCAGGGATTTGGGAATTACTTACTAAAATCGCAACTCTTGGGCTCCAAAATATTTCATTAAAAAAGTAATACTCCTTACAATAGCATATCACTCGGCCATAAAAAGGAAGAAATATTGCCACTTGCAGCCATGTGGCCAGACCGAGAGGTTATTATACCAAGTGAACTAAGGCGGACAAAGACAACTATCATGATATCGCTTATACATAGAACTGCAAAAAATGATACAAGTGAACTTAATTTACAAAATACAGACTCACAGACATAAAAAATCAAACTTATGGCTACCAAAGGGGAAAGGTGGGGAGGGAGGAGGGATAAATTAGGAGTATGGGATTAATATTAATAGATATACACTACTATGTAGAAAGTAAACCATAAGAACCTACTGTACACTACAGGGAACTATATTCAATATCTCATAATAACCTATGAAGGAAAAGCATCTGAAAAAGAATACATATATATATATATATACATATATCTGAATCATTTTGTCATACACCAGAAACTAACACAATATTGTAAATCAGACACTTCAAAAAAAAAATACTCCTGAAATGGAGCTCTAGTTAACCTTGTGGTACTACACACACACACACACAAAATCCCACAAGAAGCCTAAGATTTCTCTTATTGTCCTCTGGCATTTTCATTTTCCTACTCATTTTCATTATTTTCAGAGTAGAAAACAGACTGAAAAGAAAGAACTCAGTCTCAGGTGCCGATTCTTCAAAGCAGCCCTAGAACACAGAGGTTACGAGCACTTCACTTTGACAAGAGTCCTGTATTTCTTGTCCCTGATCTGGGATACTGGTAATAATTACCAGTAATACAGGTGGCCCCATGAAGTTACTGGGAAGACTGAATGACATCGTGCACAGAAGCCTGTACCACAGTGCTGGCCTGCAGAGAGCGCTCAGGAAACACTGGGCAAGATCAGCCCTCCGGCCAAACCTCAGACCATGCAGTTCGGCTCCTTCTTGATGAGCAACCTAGATCTACAGCAAGGAAAGCAGTTCCTGTCTGTCCATTTGGCACAGTGTACGGACTACAGTTCAAACGGCTTACAGAAGTTGGTGTTCTGTGTTAAAGTGTGCATAGCAGCACCAATGATTTTAGAAACAAATGAATCCCATGGACTGGTATCTGAATGTTCTGATTGTTATTCAGGTAGTCTCTCCTGGGGCTTCTCAGGTGGCGCTCGTGGTAAAGAACCCACCTGCTAAGGCAGGAGACATAAGAGATGTGGGTTTGATCCCTGGGTCAGATCCCCTGCAGGAGGGCATGGCAATCCACTCCAGTATTCTTGCCAGGAGAATCCCATGGACAGAGGAGCCTGGCAGGCTACAGTCCATAGGGTCATAGAGTTGGACACGCCTAAAGTGACTTGGCACCACCTCTCCATGACCCCAAATAATTAATCATTCACATTGGGCTTGAAAAAAAAAATTTCTGAGGAGGGACTTGATTTTGCACAAATGTTTCCTTCTCTTTTCTCCTGTGGTCTCTTACTTTTGATGAGAAAAATCATATCCTTGCCATGAAATCACAAAACTCATTCGTTTTAAGGGGCAGCCTAAGTAGCATTTATAATCCTTCATTACCACGGGTTTAAATGGTTGTTGTTCAGCTGTGTGCAGCCTGGAACGATGCTTTGGCCTAATTTACATTGGCCACGAAAGCCTTGGAGTTAATAACAGTGTCAGTTTCATTTCACATGACACATGTCCTTTGCCATTTCTACTCGCCCTTTAAACAGAAGTTGTAGCTTCAGTACTTGGTACTGGCTGCCAAGGAGAGCAAGTCCCTGCCAGAACAATTTTAAAGCCATCTCAGGGATGCAAGAAGGGACACTCGAATCCTGGCACTTCTCCTACAGATTAAATGCACACGATCTGATCCCGCTTATGTTAACAAGCAAGAGAACCAAGCAACAGCAAACTACAGCTGAGCAGAAAAGATTGCACGCGGCTCCCGGCTGCTCGGAGGAACTGTCATCCTCGGGCTGAGCTAAGGACAGCGGTGACGTGGAATCTCAGCTATCCCTTTAAGGAATAGTCAGAGATGCCTGACTTGGGGAAGACGGTTTGGGAGCCCATGAAAACTACTATGATATGTGTAGGGCTACTGTGTGGAAGAGAGATTGACGTTGTACACTAGAAAAGGGATAATTAGGGCCAGGGGCCAGAGAGGTCAGGGAAACCCACTGGGGTCCAGCAGAAAGAACTTTCTAGTCACCAGAGCCCAACAGCTAACTCCATCGCACGCATCTGTTTGTCCAGACAGCTGCCCTTGTGGATAATGGTACGGCTCTCATCCATGGAGGTGTCCAAGAGGTTCAGTGTGCTATTGGAAGGGGAGGCTCAAACTGAAAGGGGTTATTTGATTTTTTAAAACTAATGACGGTGGTGAGATGTAATTCATGCTTCATAAAACGCACCCATTTAATGTCTACCATCCAGGGGTTTTCAGTTGTGCAACCATAGCCACTAACTTTGGAAGCCTCAAAAGGAACTTCCCACAACCCGAATGTCTATCAACAGAGGGATGAATAAACAAGACATGGTACATATAGACAACGGGCTGTTAAAAGAGAATGAAATAATGTCATTAGTAGCAACATGGGTGGCCCAGAGATTGTCACACCGAGTGAGGTAAGTCAGACAGAGAAAGAGGAATATAATATGATGTCGCTTACACATGAAATCCAAGCAAGTGATACAAACGAAAACTTATTTACAAAACAGAAATGGACTGACAGACTTAGAGAATGAACTTATGGTTACCAGAGGGGGAAGGTGAGGGGAAGGGATAGTTAGGGTGGTAGAGATTGCCATGTACACACCTCTATGTTTCAAATGGATAACCAGCGAGGACCTGCTGTATAGCACATGGAACTCTGCTCAAGGTTATGTGGCAGCCTGGATGGGAGGGGACTTTCAGGGAGAATGGATATATGTATGTGTATGGCTGAGTCCCTTTGCTGCCCAAGTGAAACTACCACAACCTGTTAATCAGCTATACTCCAATATAAAATGATAAAAAGGAACTTCCATGCTCAATAGCCATCAACTTTTGCTCCCCCAACCCCGGCTCCTAGCTCTAGGCAAGCACTGACGGGCGTTCTGTGTCTGGGGCTATAGAGAGGACTGTTCACACAAATGGAATCAACATCACACGGTCTTTAGTGACTGGCTCTTTGCATGTTTTCAGAGGTCCATCCAAGTTCTTGCCTGTGTCAGTATTTCATTCCTCTTGGCTATCAGCTGATAGGGACTCTGATTTTATAGGTTTTTTTTTCTAACACCCAGACCTCATGCCCTAGGTTTAGGATTTTACAGTCCTCCTTCCTTTCACATCATAAAAGGATTCCCTAATCTCTACAGTGCAAATTCAATTTGTACTATTACTTCCAGTGACACTATCCTTAATTTTCCAGAATGAGAGAGCTGAAGAACAGAAAAAGCCACAATAAAACAGCAACCATGAAGTGTAGTATTTCCGCAGCATGTCTACTCTTTGAAGCACTTTTCTACTTCTGGGTTTCAAGCAGTAAGCATGAGTAGCCCCCTGGCTGAGGCCCCTCTGATATTCTAAGGGGGCCACCTTCTTTGGGGGCAGGATAAGACCTCTGAGGTGCCCTCTTCATTCTCAGGGCCCCACGGCACTGGCAGCTTGGGGTCCTACTCACATGTCATAGATACAGTTTGGAGTGAAGGAGTGATTTGCCTTGTGTCCCAAGGAGGCACAGTACTTGGATACGTGGTTGTAGGGCTCAGGCACATCAATGACCGTTTCCTCGTCAAGGGAGAGGGTGTTCCCATTGAGAGCCCAGTCCCTGCTGTCGACCTGCAGAAAACAAGAAAGTGAATATTGGAAACGAGCTTCCTCCCAGGAACTCAAAGGCCACTGAAGATATTAACTCATTTATCCCTAACCTCATGGTTTGAGTGCCATGTATATGGCAAAAGCCTAAGGCAGCAGCCCCCAACTTTTCTGGCAACGGAGACTGGTTTTGTAGAAGACAATCATTCCATGGATCAGAGTGGGGGGATGGTTTCAGGATGATTCAAGTGTATTACATTTATTGTGCACTTTATTTCTGTCACTATTACATCAGCTCCATCTCAGATCATCAGGCAATAGATCCTGGAGGTTGGGGACCCCTGGCCTAAAGCATCCCTTGCACTTTGATGGTGCATACTCCACACACTGATGGTGGGAAGGGCATAAAGAGCAGAGCAGGGCAGCTCAACTTCCTATTTATTTTTAAAGTAATTAAATTAAACTAATTAATTAGTTGATTGATTTTTGGCTGTGCTGGGTCTTCGCTGCTGCCTGGGCTTTTCTCGAGTCGCAGTGAGCAGGGGGCTCTCCAGTTGGGGTGTGCAGGCTTCTCATTGCTGTGGCTTCTCTTTTTGCTGAGCACAGGCTCTCAGGCACGCGGACTTCAGTGGTTAGGCACATGGGCTCAGTAGTTGTGGAACCTGCACTCTAAAGCATAGGCTTAGCAGCTGTGGCTCTCAGGCTTAGTTATTCTGTGGCATGTGAGAACTTCCCAGATCAGCGATAGAACCTATGTCTCCTGCATCGGCAAGTGGGTTTTTACCCCTGAGCCACCAGAAAGTGAAAAGTGAAAGTGTTAGTTGCTCAGTCATGTCTGACTCTTTGCAACCCCATGGAATGTAGCCCACCAGGCTCCTCTGTCCATGTGAATTTCCCAGGCAAGCATACTGGAATGGGTTGCCAATCCCTTCTCCAGGGGATCTTCCCCACCCAGGGATCAAACCTGGATCTCCTGCATTGCAGGCAGATTCTTTACCAGCTGAGCCACAGGGAAGCCCATAAGCCACCAGAGAAGTCTTCAATTTACTATTAATTAACTTTCCCCATCTTATTTTATAAAAAAAGAATTTGGAAGGTATTTGGGTCATGGGGGCAGGTAGAGCCCTTACGAATAAGACCGGAGTTCTTATAAGAAAACTCTGAGTTCCCTCATCCCTCCTGCCATGTGTAGTTATAGCTAAAAAAGGGACATCAATGAAGCAGGAAGCCAGCTCTCACCAGACACTGAATCTGTTGGCACCCTGGTCTTTGACTTCCTAGCTTCTAGAACTGTGAGAAAGAAGTTTCTGTTGTTCATAAGCTACCTAATCTACAATGTCTTTGCTATAGCAGTCTGAGGTTGGCTGGAGAACGATATCTGAGCAATTTTATAAAAAAGCCTAGCCTTTTGTTCCTTTATATTCTTCGTGAACATTAAAGTAAAAGGACTAATGAGAAAATTAAGGGTGTCTGAAACAAAGCCCGTTAAACAGTCAAACTGAGTCCCCACTTCCACCTCACTCACCTCTTGGTGTGTAATTCGGACTCCATTGTAAAAAGACATAACAGTATTGGGTCCCGCAGCTACTTTTGAAAACAGTCCTTCTCCAGCACTGGAAATGAGAGATTCAGCAACATAAACCCTAAAAAGAAAAAAAAAAAGGCAAATGATTCGTTTTAGTTTGATATATCATCCCTTACTAACCACCCAAATACCGTCATAGCTACAGAATCCAAAATGTCAGTTCATAGTAATCCAATGAGGCAGAAAGAAAAAGTGAAATACAGATTTTGGCACTGAAAACTGGAGAATGGTGTATACTTATGACTCTCATTGCTCTCTAATAAAGGGATTATTAGTATATATTCACAAAGTAACTCAGTGCTTAATATAAGGTTTTTAAAAATTTGCATGTTTTAATTAATGACAATTTCCACTGTCTTCTTGGACTATGCAAACATTTCCCAAGGCTAATTAAAGCTATACCCAAGGTTCTCAACCCTGAGATGAATCCTCTACATAAAAGAGTGACAAATAATTAATAAAAGATACTCAATAAGTACTTCCCAACAAAGGAGTTTATAACAGATTAGCTAACTCTGGCCCAAGGATCAAATCTAGCTGTTGCTTGTTTTTGTAAATAAAGTTTTATTGGGACACACCCACACCTATTTGTTCAGTATTATCTATGACTGCTTTGGCATCACAAAGGCTGACTTGAGTAGCTGCTGTAGAAACTCACAAAGCCTAAAATATTGACCATGTGGTCCTTTACAGAACAAGTTTGCCAAGTGCTGGTTTTAAGAAGATAGAACTCGTGATTACAGAACAGGATTTATTGAGAGAGTGAGTGCGAGCATGTTAAGTCGCTCAGTTGTCTCTGACTTCATGACCCCAAGGACTGTAGCCTGCCAGGCTCCTCTGTCCACAGGACTTCCCAGGCAAGAATAGTGGACTGGGTTGCCATTTCCTTCTCTAGGGGATCTTCCCGATCCAGGAATCGAACTCACATCTCCTATGGCTCCTGCATTGGCAGGCAGATTCTTTACCCCTGCACCACCTGGGAAGCCCCTTATTAGGAGAGTACCTGCCCCAATCACATAATTTCAGTTATTCCAGCCCCTGTGGTGGATAGCAAGTCTGGGGGAAATGGTCACTTGGGATTTCTGTTATGTAGATCTTCTGTTAATTTGATGGGCTGGAAGGCTGAATTACTGCTTCCACCTCCTGACTCTCTCCCTGGGACAGAGTTATTCTGATTCTTGGTCATGTGACTGCCCTTCAGCTTGCATGGAGGATAACGTCCCTGCCCAACTGACTTGGTTTTGGCTGAGTGATCTGCTTTGCCACTAGGCAGAAGTGACTGCAAGGCTAGGTCTCGGGTGTTAAGAATCATGGCAAGTCTCTGCCAGCTTCCTTGAGCTTCCATTCATCTCCACAAGGAGAAGATGCCCCAGGGGGCTGCTGTTTGCTCAGCCTGAGTCTTGGAATGAAGGCATGTGAGACAGACCGGAACCCAACTTGAATCTTGGAGCACAGCCTAGTCCAGCCGAGCCGAGTGGAACCCAGTCAAAAGTGGCTGAGCCTCAGCCAATCTACAGAAGTATGAGCACAGAAGGAAATATTTGCTTTCATAAATCGCTGGTAGTCTAAGGCTACTGTTATGTGGCATCATCACAACGACAGTACACACAAAAAAAGATACATACAGTTAGGGGACTGTTGTGTTTGGGGGCTAACAAAGACCAAATCTTTCTCTCTGCAAACAGGCCAGAGTCTCATCTCAAGAAAGAGGCCATTCATTCATTGTGACATTGTAGTGTCAGCCCTGTCAGTTAAACCAGGGAAGAGGCCTTTTCTCAGACGCGGACAGAAGAGAAACTGAATAGAAGCCGTGATTACAGAGTGAGGCCAAGAGAAAGTCCACTGCAGATGGCACTCTTACCCACAGACAGGCCAGCCACTGGGGCACACGAAGCCCAGTCAAGAGACCCGAGAAAGCCATTCCAGGAATCCAGAGCTAGAGTTTAGCTAGCATGTCCAATGGAATGGGGCCTGACACTCTGGAACGGAGCTTAGAGAATTGTAATTTGTAAGCTGGAATGTTTTTATGCTTCTTACATTTTATTTATTCCTGTCTTCCCTTAGTGAATAAAGACATTATCTTGTGCTCCAGACCCTCTCAGCTGGGCTAAGTAAAGCAGCGGACATCTGGTCCTGCCTCGACTAGAGCTTTCAAGAGTGTGAAATGCTCCCGAGGGGCTAGGAGAGGCTGCCACACCAAGAGCCCCAGGAAAGCGGACGCCTGGGCAGGGTATAACGGGCTGCCTGACCCTTCGTAGAAGCTTCACTCCGGGACCGACACACAGGCTGTTCTGTGCTTTACGGGCGGAGAAACTCTCTTACAGGGACAGATGCTGTATGACCAGGAAAACACTCTTTCTCAGAATACACATTTTTTTCTCTGCTAGGGAACTCGGCCTGAGTAGAGGGCCACCAAGGAGCAATAATTCCCACCAGAAGAGTTATTTAATCTCACATAAATGATGTCATTAAAACCACAGGGGAACAATTACCTCTCTGATTCATACGGGTCTGGAAGAAGAGCATTGGAAGAAATGCAAGATGAAGTTGACTTATCAAAGTGGTACACCGCACCTGAAAAGCAAACAAAAATTTCAGTACAGGCCCAGTGTCAGGGAAGTGCATCAGAAACATTTCTCTCTATCAATGGGACCTGTATAAGTTAAATAATGCAAAAGGTTACTCAAATTAGACCAACTAGAATGAAATTCTTCAGTATAAATGGAGAGCTTTTTTTTTAATAATAGTTTTTCATGATAAGAAAGTTTACTTATCCTGAGTAAATGTGCAAACACAATGAAATTCTTAGCTTCATTCTCCATCATATTCATTATGCATCTCTTGGTGACTATAATGACATTCATTATTTTTAGGAGAATTTATTATTGTGAATACATAAATCCCAACCCATTTTTTCACCTAGTAAAAGATACACATATGGGTTTTCTTTCTTTTGCAGAATATCCAAGTGGAAAAAAATACAGAGAAATACTCAGAAAAAAGTTAATCTAAAGTAATAATTTTTTATTACTCCTGAAATGCTTTCACTGTGTTCAGGAATATAATAATGAAGATGGATACCATTTTACAAAGCATAATTTACTTTAGCTCTTTCATTCTTTAACTATCTGGAATTACATGAGTGACCTACACCTAATCATCATCCAACCCATTGGTAGAACTCATGTTATACTTCCAATATCATTTCTGATTTGAGAATCTTAAGTGTAACAAATATTGTCATAACATCAAATATTCTTATACTAGGGGATTAAAATCTGTTGTTTCATTTGTTGAACTTTGTGATTCTGAATTGAGTTGCTAAAAGATATTTTTAGGTTATTATTGAATACAGCAATTGGATGCTTAGTAGATGGCATGGGTACCAGGTGATGATGTTAATTCTAATTAAAATATGTGATAGGATGAAATAGTTGCTGGCTGGCTAGATAACAAGCTTCTTACAAGCAGGTTTACACCAGTAATTACAGACTGCTGTGCAAAATATAAATGGATAGTTTTCAGATTTATTCTGGAGTTTTGTTATCAGGTCTTCACAGCCATCAGGAGTATCTCTTAAAATTCCATTTTTGCTTTTGAATTCTCTTTATTCACATGATTTAAAAGCTGCTTGTGTAATTAAAATTTTTAACTGAGAAAAAGCTTTGTCATGAAAACTTGAGATCTCTCTCTGGTTGGATAAGATTGGATAATAGTTTTAAATTTTCCTTGTGGTTTTTTTCACACTAGACACAGTCTGTAGAATCAAACCACCCACCTTGGCAATTGTCTCCTTCACCAAAAATAAACACTCAGCCTCACCAGAATTAAGAACAGACTGCTTTTGATAAAGCATTAACAAAGTCATCTTATTTCTATTAAAGTGGTTCAGAAACCAATTAGTAATTTATTCCAGAAACGAAGACACACAGCCACTCTAGAATTAACGTTAGTTCTCTGCAAAGAATCAGCCTCCAAGAACCCTCCAAGAGCATGAGGAAGATATACGGTGTTCCAAAGGCTAATAAGTAACAAGTTTACTCCTGAAAAGTCAATTATTTTAGGCACTAAGGCATCATAAATTATCCATTAAGCAGTTCCTAAGTAGTTACCAATGGTTACCAGGTTCTCATTCTTTCTTTCTTTTAATACCATCAAAACCCAAATTAATGTCTCAGACGAAAAGTCTGAGATCAGTCCATGTCACAATCCAGATCAGCCCGTGTCACAGACCATTTGAGTATTTTGAAGAGAGAGAATTTAATACAGGGAACTGGTTACATAGAAGATGGAAGAGCTGAGGAGCCAAAGAAGGCAATGAAGAGCCCAAAACTGCCAAGAGCAGAAAGCCATAACCCTGAGTCACAGGAGCAGCGTTACTCACTCAATCGTGTCTGACTCTTTGTGACCCCATGGACTGTAACCTGGCAGGCTCCTCTGCCCATGGGATTCTCCAGGCAAGAATACTGGAGTGGGTTGCCATGCCCTTCTTCAGATCTTCCCTACCCAGGGATCGAACCCAGGTCTCCAGCATTGGCAGGCAGATTCTTTACCATCTGAGCCACAGAACCATCCCTGGACCTCTGGACCTGGGGGAGCCCAGGGAAGCTGGACCCGTGGGGAACCGTCCTGTTAAGAGATGCAATCAGGAGACAGGCCCCTGCTGGGGACTCTATGGGACACACAGAGGGCTTCTCCCTGCTCCTGTCCTTGGCCTGTGGCCAAACCCAGACAGAAGTCGGAGGCACAGAGCCTGGGAAATGCACCAGGGAAGGGGTAGACACCCAAGCCTGCAATAAAGCAGAGCAGGGAAGGCTGAGAACCAGCACATGACCAATTAAAGGAAGTTCAAACAAGAAAAAAAAACCAAAAAACCCCACACTTCCAAACCAAACATTTCTGTGGAATACACATCCTATTGTGCAGAAATTCTCCTAAGAACTCCCATCTCCTTTCCTTAGACTAAAACGTTCCTCACAAATGTGCTAAGTGCCAACTCTACACATAAAACACCATGCTAGGGGCTCTGCAGATACAAGCAGGAGTCATATCACATCTCTTCCTGCTTTCAAGGAGTCACGGTGTCTTCTCCAACGCTGACCATCCCTCCCGCTGCTCCCTTAGACAGGCCTGTGCTCCAGGCCAACTGAAGGTACCCTCTCCTCCCTCTATTCCCCTGTCATTGCTACTATGACCTGGGACTGCAATTCATCCATTCAACTGACAAACGTTACTTCTAAGAGCGGAGCCAAGCCATAAGGATGGAACAGGAAAGGATTTCCCTTTCCCTTGCAGTCCAGTGGTTGGAACTCTGCACTTTCACTGCCAAAGGTCCAGGTTCAACCCCTGGTTGGGGAACTAAGATCCTGCAAGCTGCAAGGCACAGCCAAAAAAATAAAAATTAATAAGGACTTATTGTATATTGCAGGGAACTCTACTCAATACTCTAATGGCCTATATGGCAAAACAATCTAAAAAAGGGTGGATATATGCGTAGGCATAACTGATTCACTTTGTTGTACACCTGAAACTAACACAACATTGTAAATCAACTATACTCTGATAAACATTTAAAGAATTAAATTTAAAAAATGCAACTTCTGATTTAATAGTCCTGAAGGAGGCCTGACAACCTGCATTTCTAAGAAACATTCAAGTGATGCTGATAATTGCACTAAAAAAGAGACAGAACAGGCATTAGCCAGGAAATGGAATTGCTATGTAAAGAGGCGAAAAAATGAGGAGAGAAGAAATTCCAGGCAGAGGCACAAGAAAACTCAGCAAGAAGTGTGGAGAGAGAGAAGCAGTTTGTTGGTCCAAGAGCACAGAGAGAAAGGAGCAGGCGGTGAGGAGGGTTTCAGGTGAGACACTCGCATTCTGCTTCCTCCTCCCCCAACCACTGGGCCAGAAGCCACATGACCCCGAAAGCCCTCATCTGTCAGCCAGTCAGGGGTTCAGCACTTGTAACTGGAAGAGGAAGGAGACAGAAACAAAAGGGGCGGAACACAGAGCAAAGACTGGGCCTGGTTCCTCCCAGTCACCCAGAGCAACTATGCTTTCCGATCCCTTTGAGACCCAAATTGTTCAACCTAGCCTTAAAAGAACTGAGGCCTGCTGGAATCTTGCCAATAAATCCACCCCTCCTTTTCTGGTCTTAAGTGAATTTGAAGAGGGTGCTTGCTATTTGCATCCAGGAGTTCTAAGAAAAACCATAATTCCCCTGAGACTGATCACTCTCACTTTCCAAAATGTGTTTCATACTTACACCAAGAAAAGTGTAATAACCACAATAACTTTCCTGATGGGGCTTTATGATAGGTGCCAATATCTGTATTGTATCATGAAGAAACAGGTTCTAAAAGGGTAAGTAACCTGCCCCAACCCATAATACAGTAAATGTTGGAGCCAAGACTCCAACGAGGTGACTCTCAAGTTCAAGACTCTTGCCACTAAAAGTGTTGCCATTTCTGAAGTTTTAAAATCTGCATCACCAACTGGGATCTTCCCCTGGCCAGAGTCTCCTCATTTCTGAACATTGTAACACTGTCTCCTATTGAAATGGACATGAAGAGTGCAGATACCAGAGTTTAAAGTTCAAAGATTACTGTTACACTTAAAAAAAAATACTTCATTGTGGAATGACTTTAAATTTACAGAAAAGTTGCAAACATAGTACAGAGAACTCCTGATGCCCCTCACTGTTTCTCCTAATGTTAATTTCTTATGTTACATGGTGCATTTGTCCAAATTAAGAAACCAGCATAGCGTTACTATTGAGTGAACTCCAGGCTTTATTCAGATTTCACCAGTTTTTCCACGAATGTCCTTTTTCTGTTCCAGGATCCAATCCAGACTCCCATGCTGCATTTAAAATGCCTCAATTTTTAACTTAAAAAAACAAAAACGGAGACATTTATAACAACCCAAGTTGGAGCTAAATGCAAAGTGCTAGGTTTCCTATTTTTGAACAACCACCCTTTGGAGAATCTCCTTCCAATCCAAAGAGCTAAATATTATCTAGGCCTAGCAATGCCTAGATGCACTATCTTTTTTACTTTATTCTTCTTATACCTTAACTTAGATTGGAAATACATATATGTTGGGAAGATCCCCTGGAGAAGGAAATAGCAACCCTCTCCAGTATTCTTGCCTGGAAAATCCCATGGACAGGGGAGTCTGGTGGGCTACAGTCCATGGGGTCACAAAGAATCAGACACGACTGAGCACTTCACTTTTTCATACATTGTTTTCAAGGAATCAGACCAATTTAGCTTTCTTAATATTGTGCCACTCAGAATACAAAACCTTGATTTTTTTCATTGTATATTTTCCAGATTTTCTACAGTAAATAATTCTGTAATAAGAAAAAAGTTTGGTGCCATCCGGTACTTCTAAAAGGAAACAGGACTTTTTCTAACATGCAGACCAACAGGCTCATTTGTGCATTGAGTATGTCTTCCAAGACGATGCTAGACGTTCCCCTCCTTCCGCTCACATCGCTCAGCCTGTGAGATCTTAGCCAGTCAGGGGTTGAACCCATGCTCGCTGCAGTGGAAGCGTGGCGTCTTAACCACAGATCACCAGGAAAGTCTCGATATTAGACTTTGAAAAGAGGCCAGGTACCAATGTGCATTTATCTTTCCCAATTGGAACTCAGGTTGATTCAGCATTACAACTTGGCGATCTACCTAACTTGATTCTTTATCAATTCAATCATTAAACTGTAGGGGTTTCTTCCCCCGAGATATAATATTTAAAACTGATTAAATTACCGCTGTCATTTCTTCACCCCTTCTGTGCACTAGAATTAGACAGCTATGCCCTTGTCAGGTGACTTTCCAGCATCTGCTACTAAAGTGCCTGGTGTATCGTTCCCTGTTTCACTGATGGCTTGGCCGTGTGACTTGCTTTGACCAATGACAAGTGGGTGAAAGGGACTTTGTGTCAGTTACACACTGAGGCTGCAAGAGGCATCGCAGGTGTCTGCTCAGTCTCTGGCTTCCTGTGGTCGCCTGAGAAAACGGATCGAAAGGCCCAGAGCTAAGGCCCAGCACAGGCTCTGAGCTGACTAGGGCTTCCCGAGCGTTAGAGAATGCTGGTTCAGTGTTAAAGAATCTGCCTGCCAACCAGTAGGAGACGCTGGTTTGATCCCTGGGTTGGGAAGATCCCCTGGAGAAGGGAATGGCTACTGATCCAGTATAGGCTCTGAGCTGACTAGGGCTTCCCGAGCGTTAGAGAATGCTGGTTCAGTGTTAAAGAATGTGCCTGCCAACCAGTAGGAGACGCTGGTTTGATCCCTGGGTTGGGAAGATCCCCTGGAGAGTGGCTACCCACTCCAGTATCCTGGCCTGGAGAATTCCATGGACTGTATAGTCCATGGGGTCCCAAAGAGTCAGACACAACTGAGCGACTTTAACACACTCACTCATAATGACACAAGTTCAAGATATTTCTCTTGTGCACGCCCACTGTTAGTAGCACTAATATGGATGATAACAGATTAAGAACTCAGCTTTTCACATGAGCACGAAAAGCATGAGGCATATCATCCCTTCCCACCCAGTCCCCTATAGGCTATATGCACAGAGAGCGTATAAACCTGATTTACAGAGTCAGAGATGGAGCTGTACTTTATAATCCTGGACAAGTTACTGATACTGTCTAACTTGGTTTCTTATCTAAGAAACAAACACACTGTATTTGTGTGTGCATGTGTCCTCAGTCCTTTCAGTCGTGTCCAACTCTTTGCGACCCCATGGACTGCAGCCCACCAGGCTCCTCTGTCCATGGGATTCTCTAGGCAAGAGTACTGGAGTGGGTTGCCATGTCCTCCTCCAGATCTTTCCCACTCAGGGACAGAACCTATATCTCTTGCGTTGCAGGTGGACTCTTGACTCACTGAACCGCCCCTTTGTAATATGTCATAAACATTGAAAGGAAATGTAACAAGGGTTACTCTGAGCCAATATCAAATGTGATGAGGGTCTGCAGCAAAACAGTCTTACTCACTATTCTTAGAAATTTGTTTTTCTAATATTATAACTTGGTTTCTTATCTAAGAAACAAACACACTGTATTTGTGTGTGCATGTGTCCTCAGTCCTTTCAGTCGTGTCCAACTCTTTGCGACCCCATGGACTGCAGCCCACCAGGCTCCTCTGTCCATGGGATTCTCTAGGCAAGTGTACTGGAGTGGGTTGCCATGTCCTCCTCCAGATCTTTCCCACTCAGGGACGGAACCTATGTCTCCTGCGTTGCAGGTGGACTCTTGACTCACTGAGCCGCCCCTTTGTAATAGGTCATAAACATTGAAAGGAAATATAACAAGGGTTACTCTGAGCCAATATCAAATGTGATGAGGGTCTGCAGCAAAACAGTCTTACTCACTATTCTTAGAAATTTGTTTTTCTAATATTGAATTCTGAATTTTTGGTCTATTAAGAAAATCTTTAGTTCAAAGATACTTAAGAATTAGTTTAGCGTACGTGAGTAGAGAGTTGTCTGTGGTTTTGCAAGGAATAAACAAAAGAACTTTGAGATACTGTCTTTCTGAGAGTCCCATACCACGGTTTATTTTTTTGAGCTAGAATGCGAAGTGAAAAAAGAACAACCAAATTCTCCTCCTTTGCCCGTCACTTCTCTCTTCCCACTCTTCTTTATTTACTGCTCCCTTCTGCCTCCTTCCAGGAGAGGAGCCAGCTGTGCTTCCTGTTTTACTGTCACTTGCTTCACTCCCAAGGGTCCTTAAATGCTTTAGGGCAGAGGCTATCGTAGAATTCTGCATCCTGGTACCAGTGCTAGGGACACAGGAGGTGATGTAAAAACTTTGCAAATTGAATTGGGACACTAAAAATAAACTAACAGTTAATTATTATACAATTATATAAATTAAATATTATTATATATTATTAAATAAAAAGTTAATATTTAAAAACCTAACCTAGGGAACAAGATATGTTTCCTTTTTTTTTCCTTCCCATCTAGGAGGTCCTCATGGTATAAATGGAAATCTCAGACTTTTGTAGATTTGACCTGAGACTAGTAAGGCCATGACATCTTCTAAAAGCTTGGTCATTTCCTCAGCTGAAAGGTTCTAGAAGCAGCTACTCAGAGTCGGTGATGTGGGATGACTTCTGAGTGATTTCAAATGTGGTTTACAGAGAAGGAGCAGGAAGAAATAACCACCAGGTATAGAATCTCCACAGTTCACTGGAGTCTAATGGCTCTTTGGAGAAAAAACAGTTATAAATTTAAAAATGAATCACAGCACTTCCATAGAAAGAAAAATACCTGAAAGCATTTTTCCCAGATAGAAAGAACGTTAGGCTTGTATTATTGCTCTTCCTTCCTCCCGAGTTAATTCTTAACGGCCTAGCCTGAACAGAGACACATTTTCTGCAAGATCTGCCTTCAGACTTCCAGCGACGATGACAGCTGAGTGGCGTTAGGGCACTTGTGCTCCTCACATACCGTAACTAACTAAACCATCAAGATTACTATTTATTCAGCATTCTCTCTTTCTAAGGTCTCAGGTTTTCTTCCCCCTTACGTGCTTTAAACTTCCTTTTGTGGGCAAGTGATTTTATTTGTCTAGAATGATAAAGCAGATTTTTCTTTTATTTTAGAAAGGAGTTGGTGGTTTTAGTTGCTAAATCGTGTCTGACTTCACGACCCCATGGGCTGTAGCCCTCCAGGCTCCTCTGTCCATGGGATTCTCCAGGCAAGAATGCTGGAGTGGAATGCCATTTCCTTCTCCAGGGGATCTTCCCAACCCATGGATTGAACCGGGTCTCCTGCATTGCAGGCAGATTCTTACCAACTGAGCTACCAGGGAAAGGAGTTATGAGTTTTTAATTAAAACTCTCTATCACTGTTCCAAGGTAAACTTTTGACAGAAATAAACTACCCTTAGAATGAGCTTACAAATCCTGGATGGAGAATCATTATTTTTTGCCTCGCTTTGTTCCTACTTTAACCTCACGTCACAGACACTTCCCTGTTGGCTGTACCAGGGGGAGCAGAGGGAAAACTGATCCCCTTTCTCCTCTGCTCAGCAGCTCCTCCTATGGGAAGAGGAATCCTTCACTTGATCGGTGAGACGGCAGGATCTGACACCCATCTCTACCAGATGGGGGTTAACAGGATAAAGTCTGCTGCTCTCACATGTTCTGCATTTTCGCTCACCTGTTCTGAGAATTGGCAGCGCCCATGGGCTGCACCTGCTCCCCTCTCATCCTCTCTTCTCCTTGGGGAAGCTCCCCCAGGCAGCCCTACTCCCCAAGGGAAACCTGAAGCTTTCTAGCTGCTCTGTGGGCACCTGGCCCATCTGTTTAGTTCAGAGGGGCAGAAGTAGAAACCCATGACACCTCTGCATTCTAACTCTGCCATACGGAAGTCCTGATCCCTGACACCTATGTCCATTTCTTAACTGCTCAGTTGAGTCCGACTCTTTGTGACCTTAGGAACTGTAGCCCACCAGGCTCCTCTGTCCATGGAATTCTCCAGGTAGGAATACTGGAGTGGGCTGCTATTCCTTTCTCCAGGGGATCTTCCCAGCCTAGGAATTGAACCTGGGTCACTTGCATTGCAGGTGAATTCTTTACTCCAGGCTCCTCTGTCCATGGAATTCTCCAGGTAGGAATACTGGAGTGGGCTGCCATACACAGGGACTGAATCCGGATCTCCTGCATTGCAGGCAGGCTGTTTACTGTCTGAGACATCAGGGAAGCCCGCTTCTTAATTGATTCTCAACCCGGAGATCAGAGCAGTGGGATGTGATCACCAGCCTCACGCCTGGCCCCAGTGCCAACAGATACTATACACAAAATGTCATCAACCAAGTTAATTTTGACAGCTTGTAACTCCCCAGTGCTTCTTCCTTCCTGAGGTGGAGTCCTCTCTCGGTGTTTAAAAGGACACTAATTAAAGCTGAAGGCTAAAATGCACCTGTGCATTTTAGGTTTCAAACTGCAACTGCATTGAGTGAATCAGATCAATTTACCTTAGTGCAGCTTTGATATCCTCTAGGGACTTAAATTGATCATAGTTACAAGTAAAATTACAGGGAGTGGGAGAATCTTGTAATTCATTGCATTTCCTTCATTTCAACCCCCAGGAGGAATTCCACTTTCCCTGATTTCAAGATTCACTGTGCTATGGGCAGCTCCCTAGCACAGGGCAGTAGGAAGCTTATCCTGCCTAGTGACAAAGCGACAGAAGTTTCAGCTTCCTAATCTGGTAAATACCTCCACCTCTTCTCCCTCTGTAACAGAAACTTCTGAGCTATTGCAGATCCTACCAAGAGAATGTGTAAATGCTTTAACAATAATTTAAAAAAATGTTTCACAATTTTTTTCTTTGGCTAGAGTATAACTTATTTTTCAGCAACAATAATGTGTAAGTAGATTTTGCTGGTATTACTTTTCTTGTTATACATATAATAGAGACTTTGTTTTTACTGATACTTTTAAATCATAAAAGGATAGGATTAAGAGTAAGAAAAAACATATTTTGACTTAAGCTCTGGACAAAATAAAATATTAGATAAAATATTTTTGCAGGTCCATTTTCTGAAACATTTTCTGGAAATTCACTAAGAACAGATGGGGTATTTGAAATGCAAACAAAAATTACAACATTAATTCCCAGCCATGGGTTTTTGCTGCATCTTTCTGCTGTAGTCAACTCCAGAAAGATCATAAATGTTATCAAATATTCAAAGGCTAGTTAATTTTAATCACCTTGATTTAAGCAATATAAACCAAAAAATGGGGAGGGGGATTGGAAAGTCAAGTAACAATAGTGTAGTATGTCCAAAAAGATGTGAAATTGCTGGAATCATTCTTACCTATGAGAGAGAATAAAATTAATCACAACAATGAAACATTCTAACATTCTTTCTATATCCCAAAGAAATATTTTTAAAAATCAATGTATTTTTGTTTTGGTACGATCAAGCCAGTTTGTCTCAGTTTGGTTTTCTTTTACTTTTTTAAAAGATATTTATTTAGCTGCACCAGGTCTTAGTTGTGGCATGTGGAATCAGACCCAGGCTCCCTACATCGGGAGCATGAAGTCTTGGCCACTCAACCACCAGGGAAGTCTACTCCATTTTGTTTTAATCGTGACTAATCAATTCTTTCCAAAGCCACCCTGAAGAGGAATTGACAGCAGATCGGAGGACAATTTAAGTCAACTGTTTCACAGTGAGAGGACAACTCCCTTAAGTTGTTGACTTCAGCTACTGACTCTCAAGTTTGCACAGTCTCACGTTTTCTAACATAGAGAATACATTTATTCTTCATTGGGAAGACTCAAAGCCTTGTCTTAAAACATGCTATTTTTCAGCGAATTGAGCAGTGACAAGACTTACTGGGTAGTATATCCAGCACACTCCATGCCGAATGTTATCTTTATATTGTCCCTTGAAGATGAGTCTCCCATCTGTGTCGTACTCCTGGGCCGGTCCATTCAGCTCTCCGTCTACATACGTGCCCTGGAGAACGCCTCCGTCCTCGTAAGTGTAAACTCCCTGCCCCTGCAGGGCATCGTCCACGTAATATCCCTCCAGGGTGCTGTGAGGGAAGGGAGAGCAAAAGAGGAGCATGAGACCGCGACTCAACTCTCCTGAAAGACAGGATCGTATCATGCCCACCTCTGTTCCAATGCCCGCCTGTATTCAGTACATCCTCCTGAGTTCTCTGAGACTGCCAGGGAAAAATACTCCTGAGATATGGGTAGGATTAGAAACAGAAGAAGATTTAATTCCTAATCTCCTAGCTCCTATTAAATCCAGTTTCTCTACTGAAAGAAATACAAGAGAAAGAAACCACAAGTGGAAACAGAATAAGCCTCATCTAAGTTATGTTTCCTGGGGCTTCCCTGGGGGCTCAGATGGTAAAGAATCCGCCTGCAATGCAGGAGACCTGGGTTTGATTCCTGGGTTAGGAAGATCCGCTGGAGGAATACATGGGAACCCACTCCAGTATCTTGCCTGGAGAATCCCCTTGGACAGAGGAGCCTGGTGGGCTACAGTCCGTGGGGTCACAAAAAATTGGATACCACTGAGTGACTAAGCACACATGTTTCCAAGGCTAGATGCTGACCAATACCAGGCAACAGAAATGCTGGTGTTACCCTTTCCACGCATAAAACACTCCTGCTTAATTTCCCTCAAGAGTGGTCCAGAATTCACTGGGAGTTCTCAAAGGTCTTTAGATGGCTTGTATAGAGTGGTCTCTAATAATACAAATGTGGTTTAGAACGTGTAGATGTCTACCTATTTGTTTTACACTATTAATGCATTATTTACTGGTGACAACCACAATTAGTATCCAATCAAAAGTATCCCCTTCCATCTCTTTGGAAGATACATGGGAAGGTACTTGTGTATGTGTGTGTGTCTATGTCTATGTGTGATCATGAGCAATGGGGGTAAAGTATGGAAGATGGCAGGCTAAACCTGACTAATATCATTTGTTGTTGTTGTTTAGTCACTTTAGTCATGTCCAACTCTTTTGAGACCCCATAGACTGTAGCTTGCCAGGCTCCTCTGTCCATGGGATTCTCGAGGCAAGAATACTGGAGTGGGTTGCCATCTTGTTCTCCAGGGGATCTTCCTGATCCAGAGATCAAACCCAGTTCTTAGAGTCTCCTGCATTGTAGGTGGATTCATTAGTAGCCTGATAGAAAGTTTGAGATCCATAGTCCCAAAACTGAAGAAAGCTCACAGGGGTGTTTATGTTGATTTTATAAGAACCTTTTTTTCTCTCCTCATAAAACACTTTTTGGATTTCATAACATATTTTGAGTGTCAGCCTTGCAAAGGCCATTATGCAATGAAGCTAACTTTATCCAAAAATTCCTTTATGAACAGAAATTTAGAATAAAGGGAAAGACCAGCTCAAATTATTATTATTTTTTACAACTAAAACATAAGATGGTTAGCAACAAACAATTTGATTATTTTAACACACACAGATAATATTCATTCATTAATTCAACTAACAGATATTTATAGGATGCCTTCAAGTAGTGAGCACAGCTGTATGAAGATCTAGGAAGCATTATGAACAAGACAACCACAAAACCAGGAGACAGGTACTGGGGACAGGTGGGAGCCACGGGGATGGATGTGGCTGCATCCGACTCTACCTGGAAGAGTCTTATCTTGCTGTTAATGAATGACAGACTGATCTGTAATTATTAAAAGAAAAGCACAGTTGAAATAACGATACCCTCTGATTACAATGTAATTAGACTATTTGTAGTCTCCCAAAGAGATAAATCATTCTCTTTCAGTTTTGTTTGTATGATCAGTGATAAATAGGCCTAGTAAATTCATGTAGAGACGAGGGTGTACTTCAGCATAGCCCTTGCATCAGTAATCAAAATTCTAAATTAATGAGGTTGGAATTAATGGGATTACATTGTCATTAGACTCCCACCATGAAAAAAAAAAAAAAGAACAACCTTGGTGAAGGATAACCAATCAACTGATATAATGATGCAACAGATAGGACAAAAAACTATTTAATTATCCATCTTGACTTGGGGAATTACCAGGTAAAATACAGGATGCTCAGTGTAGTTTCAGATAAATAACAAATAACTTTTTTTAGCATAATTATGTCCCAAATATTGAACAGGACATAATTATACTAAAACATTTTTTGTTGCTTATCTATGTGTGTACGTGTGTGCGTGTTCAGTTATGTTTGACTCTTTGCGACCCCATGGATTGTAGCCTGCCAGGCTCCTCTGCCCATGGAATATTCTAGGCAAGAGTTTTGGGATGGGTTGCCATATCCTACTCCAGGGGATCTTCCTAACCCAGGGATTGAACCCGGGTCTCCTGTCTTGCAGGCATATTCTTTACCACTGAGCCACTTGGAATGCCATTTTAACTGGGTGGCCTGGATTTTTATTTGCTAAACCTGGCAACCCTATGGACTGAATTCTCTGTCCATTCTCAGTCAGACATTCAAAATGTTACTGTGTGTTTGGGCAGAACTATCCCCTGACAGACTAGTCTGCCAATATTTCTTAGGTTTATGATGAAATCTACAAGGCATGGGTCTCAAGAATCAGTTAAACAATCATGTGGATTTGCACATATTTCCCCCAGTCATGTCAGTAGCTTGTCTCCCCCTCCCTTACAGCAGAGCCCACCCTTATTAGTATCATAATCCTAAGAACAAACGGCTATTTCCTGTAGCTCAATAAACCTAAGATTCCCAAATGCAAAGTCTTGAGACTTCGGAGAGCAAAAGTTACTGCATTGTTTTCCAGCCCCTGACTGAGGAAGCAGCTTAGCTTCCTTGGTAAATTTTTTTGGTAACTTGGATGGAATCTGATAACAAAAAAGGGACATGTTATCATATGAACTGTGATCTCCAAGGCAATAAAAAAATGATAAGTCTCTGAAATCCTCTGTCACTGAGGAAATAAAAAACTTCTTAGTCTGGTGTTAAAGGCACCACTTCTTTCTCTAACTTTTCCTCCCGAAAAGGTTGGCAAACCGTAGCTGGCTGCCTGTTTTTGTAAATACAGTTTCACTGGAACACGGCCACGAACATTCCTTTCCGTATCCTCTGTGGCTGCTTTCATATCACAGCAGCAGAGTTGAATAGTTGCAATGGAGGCCATATGTGGCCCCCAAAGTCTAAAATATTTACTATCTCCCCCTGGGCAAGAAAGGTTTGCCCAACTTCTGCTCTAGAATCCCCTGGTTACATTAGTTTATTCACTGGCCTCAAGCACACCTCTATGTATCTTAGCTTCTATACTGGGTTTTCCCTGGTTCTTGCCTTGAAACATACGTAACTAAACTTTTTAAACTCCTGAGGATGACTTCAGGGGAAAAAAAAAAAAGTTGTGGGTCACATTTGCCTTTTAATCATTCAAAACAAAAATAAGTTTGGGAAAAAGAATGAATATTCTCCAACCTCTGGTCTTTTTCTATTTAAAAAAGAAATCAGCTATGAGAAAACGGCATTATGTTGTACTTGATTGTTAGTACCGGGTCACATTTGAGAAGTAGCTATGGAGGGAAAACTTTCTTATCTTTCTTGCTGAAATGGCATGGGGAGTTATACTATAGAGAAGGGTGCTCATCACTGGCCTCCCTGGAGCCTCCCCTTCACCCACATGCAGCCCTGCTTCCAAAGGACGCTACCTTGACCTCTGCAACCACAGTCACCGAAGCCTAGTCTTCAACTAGTACAGGATGTGCCACATCTTTATCCATGATCAGCTTATGGGTCCTAGTTCTCTAAATAGATTGTAAGCCCTTTACAGGAACAAATTAGGCATTATGTATTTTTCCTCTCACATATAAAACACAGCATATCTTCAAGCGGTATTTCCTAAATGAAAGAGTGGAACTGGGAAATGGGATAATCTTGCTCTGAGAAGAGAAAATTGAGAAGGAACATAACCATGTTAAGAGTATTTCTCAAGCGCAGGGAGAATTTTTTATATGAAGTGTATGTGCATTTAAAAAAGAAATCAACTATGAGAAAATGGCATTATCTTGTAGCCACTCAATTGCAAGTGAGGAAAGTTTCTTAAACTCTGTGCTTTATATTTCTCCATTCATAAACTGCAGCTACTAATGAGGCTATTCAGGATTACAAGGTTTAATACATAGCAAGTGCTTAGAAGATGTTAGGATATAACGACTGCTCGAATAACAACTATTATTATTAAGCATGCACTTTCATGTATATGATGGTGAGCTTTTTGCTGAGAAACTTAGCTTAAAACAGCAGCACTGGGGAACTGGTTATAGACTCTGGAGTAGACAGTCAAAGAAATTAACAACACTGCTCTAGATTTACCTTAAAAAAACCAGCTAGAAAGATTCCTCTCTGAGGGAAGGATGGAATAAATGCTTCTTTAAGTGAAAAAAGTAAAACATAGTCATTGTAAAATGAACAAACAAGTAAACATAAAGCAAATCAAACACTAGAAAAATGTGGAAAGCAGAAACTCCCTGGACTCTTGCTCAGTTCGGCATATATCATTTAAGACTTTTCTCCATTAATACCTTATGCATTTTCCAACCTCACGTGGTTGCTGTTTTAGCAAAAACTGGGATCATACCACACCCAATGTTCTTGACTTGTATTTTCTTAAAATTTCTTTCAACACTTGGCAGATATTTTAGTATGTTAAGAAGCTACAAAAAATGGTTTGATTTTTCCAGTACAAGCACTTGAATCAAATAACTTGAAAACATGGAAAAAATGTAAAAATCAATTTTAATTAGATTTCTTTCTTCCCATATACACACAGGCCATTTTTATCTGTTTTATCAAAGCTCTTGTACTTAACTTTCCAGTAACCTAACTTGGAAAGAAATGAAAAAAATTTATAGTTGTTTACCTAGGCAGATACATCTGCAATCTATTCAACTATTTTCATTGAAGAATTCTCTTTAATATCTGAATACACAAAAGTGTTCTTAGGAGACTAAACAGCTTTGGCTTTTCCTTCATATTTTGGGCTCTAGAAGGTTTGGGACTTTCCAGCTCCTGAGGCATAAACTCTGTTCTCTCCAGCACTGTGTTCC